TGGAGAAGATTGGTTATTGTCACTGAACTCAAAGATTCTTTGTCTTTATATATCCAACAAAACGTGTGTTGAGTTGCCCAATCTTCCAAGCGACCACGTTGGCCACCAGAACAAGATGGCAATCCAATCTGAGCTAATGCATCAGCTCTACGAGATGGCGGACCGTTTCGGATGATCTTCGCAGGCCCGGGACGTGGTCGCGGCCGGGCCACTCTGTGCCTCCGGGAAGGGATTTTGACTCTTGCGGGGCAATCGTATAACTTTGTTGTTGGCATTTCAAACTACCAGTTCCGACGGCTCTTGTGTCATGGCTTGAGTCCTTGTTCTGTGACGAATATTCTGACACTAGAATCATGAAAACTTTCAAGACAAAGCAAAAGGTATATATTGAAGGTATCTGAATGTTAATGGCACGTCGTATGGGAGCTTCCAAATTTACCTACAAAACGGTCGACATCTTGGCAACCCCTTTGCCATCAGCCAAGTCTCTCCGAAACCACACCAAAGATGGTTGAACAAACAGTCGAAACCCACTCGGGTCTTACAGCCCTTCATCTACATTTATAATTGCCCCCGGCCTGTTGCCATGGCATTGGCTGTTCTGTAGTCATCTTGACTCATTCCTCTAGGTGCCGGGGTCAGGCAAGGCAACCGATGCAGTTTGTCGGTTAACAAAGCCCACTTGATCACCTGTCTTGGCCATCCTGGAATCCAGTAAACTACTACCCAAAAACCCAAATTAAAAAGCTTCCCCTCTTCCCTGGCAATCTTCCAAATTTTTGCCCACTCAGCCCGCATTGCTTGTTCCTTGTGCCAGCTCCAGCTTTCTTCAAAATATTTTTGACCAATTTCAGACACAGTAAACATTGTCCCGACCAATTCCCATTCTTCCCCTGACTCCGCTGGACGGAGTAAATACCGTCTTCTTGAACCTCTCAGAATACACATCATGTCACCGACTTGGAGAAACATCCTTGCTGGTGCAAAAATCTATCTCTCCATCTTCAAAGATCACCGGCGTCATTTCATCAAACGTTTCGGCAATGTATTTCCCATACGGGTGTGACATTGCCATATGCGGGTTGTTAATTTCCATCACTGACGCCCGCAGCCCACCCGACAATCTTCTGAGCCAATCTACCAGAGAGTATGCTAAAGTTTCCCGTCCTTTATCATCAGCCACAAGGTAGTCATACATTGACGGCGAGTGATGTGATTGGGAGAACCCCAGTGTTCGTCTAGTCTGGCGGACTTAAAAGGCTTTGTTAAAGTAGTCGCTGACTTTTGCCCTTTGCTCCTCCTCTTCATTTTCATCCTCATATTCATCTTCCTCAACTTCCTCAACTTCCTCAACTTCCTCAACTTCCTCAACCTTAAATAATTGCTCACAGGCCAAGAGGAACCTTCTGCACTCCGCCATGTACAGCCTTTCTCCTTCATGTAGCTCCTTCCTTTCTCGTAGAGGGTTCATGACCACCCTTGCACCATTCTCTAAAAGCGCCGAAAAACCTAGCATTGCTGGTAGAAAGTCCGTGTCTATTTTCCAAGGTCCCCTGGCCAAAGAGATGGTTTCTCGAGCTCTCTCTTTAACGAGACATCTTTCCCCGACTTTCCTCACAGAACCGATTGAGTAGACCCTCAATACCAAGCTTGGTATCATTCTCCAACAACTTCAAGGGTATCACGTCGTCCAAATTCCGGTACAAAAATGCACTCCGCGGGCCGCCTCCACAATTTGGCACCCATGTCGGTACCGTGCTGCTCAAACGACGCGATCCTAAGGCTAAAAAATCCACACAACCGCTTTCCTTCAATATCCACGCCGTATACCGATGATAAACCTCATTCTCGTCAGCTCCATAGTTAGGCTTGAGGTCTTGGAGAATCTCTCCAGGCCCAACCAACAATCCCAACAAGGCATAGAATCGGTCCCTAGCATCCGTCGATTTGCATTCCATGAACCTGCTCAGATACTGAGGCATCTGTTCGGCCCACGTCTCATACTCTGTCTCTTTTGGGAACCCTTCCAACCGGCATTTGTAGTTCCAAACCACTTCTATCTCCCGCAGGCCGTTCCGTTGGGTGGAAGATATTGTCACACGGTTCCCGCTGACAGCATTCAACAGTGTACTCGGTCACCTGGCACAACAACTACCATGCCAAGGAAGGTCTGGATTCTGGAACACTGGGGAAGTGCTGCACAGACCACCGTCCCCTCAGATGCTTCTTGCCTTGCCTTGGAAACCATGCAAGGTTCCTACCAGGTTGCCTTGTTCCTCACGGTGCAACTTGTTACGTGGTTTAGGTTATTTTATTTTACCTCAGCTAGCGGTCTGACTCTCAAACAACATCTTCCATCCCAACTTTTAACTCAACCAAAAAGAATCAAAAAAGAAACGACCCAACCAGAAATCGAACCCAAAAAGAAAGCGAAGGGATTGTATCTTTTTGAACTTGTGAGCAATTTGAGCAATTGTAACTTGAAACGCTTGCCAACTGCGCCAGACCCGCTGGACTTTGAAGTTCTTGGAACAATTCTGGGTAGCCACTTCGCTGAGGGGTACTGTCATAAGGTTGTTTATATACCTACTGACCTCATTCAATTTGCACAGCAATGGTTTGCTTACATAACTGGACACCGCAGGAAATGGAGGAAGAGCTCAACGATTAATTACTGTGTGACAGCTCCCCCACCCCTGCTGTGCCTGAAATGAGCAAACTGTCATGTGTGACCTTTGCTGATAAGCATCAACCCAGAAGAGTTGAGACAAGCCACACTACCCCAGTTGTCTGATCTCGAAGCTCAACCAATTTGGGGATCCCAAAGATTGTTGGGTAAGCTCCAGGGCCCAGATTGGAGGTCATGTCTTATGAGTGCGATGTCGCATCCTTCAAAGACAACACCGTTCCCGTCCCACTGACCTCGTTCGAGTCGTTACACTCCAACCCAACTATCCCACTGGCAGCTCTGCCCTCAAGTGTCAATCATGTTTCATATCTCGAAATGTTACTATTTTCATTTATTCCACTCCTTTGTCTTTTTGCGACCGTTTCTGCTTATTGGAATACCCCTAACGATGTCGTTGTCCCAACCCGTAACCTCCCCGGCACCACCGACCAAGACACCTTCCAGCTCCTCCACCGTCGTCTTGTCAAATTTGCCCTCAACAACTGAGACATCACTCTGAGAAACACTAGCACGATCGGCAAAAGCTGGAATGACTCCACCCTCTACAGTCGGTAAGGAGTGACCATGTTCAACGCTGAGATACTCCTCCTGCAAAAACTGAATCCCAATCCATAATCTCAGCGTCTTCGAATCCCCCGAATCAAACTCCCCTTCAAACTCCTCCCTCCAAGCAAACGCCAGCATCGACATAACCTGCCTAACATGCTGTTTCCAAGCTTCCGCAGTAGTCGAACTCTCCGTCAAAGGAGACTTCAACATTAGCAACACCCTCAAAAACGTCACCTCCCAAATATCCGCCGAGTTAACCAACCTGACCAACTCCGCACTAAACAGCTTCGACAATTACTTTGACCACTTCAAAGACGAGTTCACAAACAATCGTCTCGATCCCTCGGATTTTTCGTTTCATAATTTCTCCATCGACACCGACTTTGATGTTAATATCCCACCAATCGCCGGCGTTGAACTGCTGTTTCAACTGGATGAACTCGAGTTGTACATGCTAATCAGTACTAAACTAGAGGCCCAAAGCACCTTGACAATTCCTCTATATCGTTCTCAAACTCCCTTTGGTTTTGGTATTGATGGAATGGAATTAAGGGTTTTTCTCACAGCGGATTTGACGCTTGGTGCAAAGGGTTCGTTCGAGGCTACGACTGGGCTTCATTTACAAGTTGAACCGCCTTTGGGTTTCAAGCTTACAATGTTTGCTTCGGAGATGTCAGAGGTCTTGTTTAACGATGCAAAGTTTGAGTTTTTGCCTGTTACGATTCAAACTGCGAATGTGGTTCTGGAGGGGATTTTGAGGATTGGGGTGCATGCGGGATTCGAGCTGTCGACTGCTCCTTTGGGGATATTGGGTAAACTTGTCACAGGTGATTCTGACGCCAGTGTAGGTGTCGAGGTTTCTGTGCAGGGGAATGTGGCTCAGTTTGTGACGAATGTGACTGCTGCAGATGAGAAGGACGAGAAAGGTTGTGTTTTACGTGCGAGACAAGAGTCAGTTGACCTCAGTGTCAAATACCCGGGTGATGATGCTGACCTCTGTCCAGATACACATTCAACGTCGCCGCAGTAGCAGGAGCCACCATGGAAATCGGAACCGACTCCTGGGGCTCAGACCCAACCTCCACAGTCCCTCTATTCTACAGCACTCTCGCAGACCTCTGCATCCCAACCCCCGCACCCCCAGCCATCATAACCTCTTCCCCAACCCTCACGAAACGCCAATCATCAGTAAACCTAACACCAACCATCACTCACACCGGTATCGCCTGCGCCACGCAAACATTCCCTTGTCCACCAACACTTCAAGTCACCTCCGTCTTTAAAGAAACCAAAACCCTTATAACTTCAGTATCAAAAGGCCAACAAGCTGTATTCCCACCTTCAACAACCGACGAACCAGTAACGGCTACTATAGCTTTTGGTAGAGCAATAAAGTCCATCGGAGCAACGAGTGGGACGCTGTAGTCTTTTGTTCCATCGGCAACTGAGACTGGTGCTTTCCATGACGTGGCAGATAAAGCACGGGGTTTCTTAAATGGATCTACGAATGTGGTTTCTAATGAAGTAATTTTGGGTGTTGGATTGGGGATTGGATTGCCGGCGTTCATTGGGTTGATTGTTTTGGAGGTGTGTTTGTGTAAGAGGAGGAGGTAGAGGAAAGAGGTATCAGGCTGTGCCGATAGGTCCGCAAGTTTTTGTTGTTAATGGGGGTAGATAGAGATTGTTGAGGATCAGAGAGTGGTCACTGAGTGCAGTGCAGACCTGCAGGAGGTATAAATAAAAAAATAAAATAAAAAAGGAATCACCTGTCCCGGATTTGAACCAGGCCTTCAGGCTCCCGTGCGTAGTGCCATCTACCTAAAAAGCGCAAGTAACTTGGGCAGGGATCGAATACCCAAAGGGAGGTTCCGTCATTAAGCGTACACTGCGTGCTTACCGCTACACCAGCAGGTGGTTTTATTTTTTGTTTGTTGATTTGATTGATTGACACCCAGGTCATGACAGTCGGCAGCCGGCAGCAGGGCAACCTGAGAAGCTATGACCACCCTTACTGCACGATAGTGCGGTGAGCGTAAAGGGCGTCACGTGATAGTTTTTGTCACCTTATATGCTAATTGCCACTAATACGGATTTTGAGGCCGTTCTATAGTTGCGCGGTTGTTTGTTGATCCTGAAAAACTAAACTCTGTGTCATGGACAACTTCTAGTAAACAACCACGAACGCCTATGAAGCGCCAACATTGATCATTAAATGACTGCTTGTGCTCTTGGACAGCGTATTGCACCATTCGTTGCCTGACTGCAACTTTGCGTATATTTACGGCTTTCGACATAAAAACTGCTTGAATCTCCCACTCTGTCGGGTTGAAACTTGTCTCTTTTTTCATTCTCAGTTTTCTTCCCTATTGAGTACTATGGGCCGGAATAACTCCTCGCCACCATGGAGAATCTACTACGGGGCAGATGGCCCGTATGTTGCCTCCAACCACCACCAAACAGTAGTCCCAGAATATTACCATATTCCCGACACAATCAGTTACCGAGACAGCTACGATTATCAGAGGGGCAATAATAATTAAGTCGGCACTTACTACCGGGATAATTCCCATCCGTATGATCAACAGCGCCTGTCTTCAAGCACATATCACTCCAGTGGCAACCGTGACACCAGCTACCGAGGAACTTGCCTCAATCAAGACAGCAACTACTATCGAGCTAGACCCGTTCATCAGGATAACTATCATTACTATCAACCACGGCCCATATTGTTGCCAAGCACTTCTCACTCCGGCGGCAACAGCGACTACCAACAACAGAACTACAATAGCCATCAAGTTGCACGCTATAACCCAGATAACTCCTATCACCATAATCAACAACGACTCACGTCGTCAGGCAGTTCTCACTCCGGCCACAGCAGTCGTAACATCAGATACCGCCAAGAGAGTTACGATTATCAGACCGGCAATAACCATCAAGTTGTAGCCTATCACCCGGATAACTCTTGCCGCTATGATCAACATCGGCCCATGTCGTCAGGAACTTCTCACTCTAGCGACAACAGTAGCTACAGAAGAACTTACTTCAATCAAAATAGCAACAACAACAACTACCAAGCTGGACCCTATCATCAGAATCAGCACCACTATTACAACCAACACCGTGCCGCTCCATCAGTTATATGTCAATCCTCCAGAACTAGCTCAATCGCCTCAGGCTACCCCCCCACTCGTTACGAACCAGAGGAAAAACAATGGCTAAAAGATAACTTTGGCGGGGAATTTCATCTCTTACCCAATTATAGACTCAGTATTTATGATGAAGATGAGAGGGATGAGGGTAGGGATATTGTACGGGGGATGATGAAGTATGACCGGGAGGCGTCGGATATGGTTTCGCAGAGGGGCTATGTTGGAGATTATGATGAGGAGGATAGTGAGTGTGATTGTGATTGTGTGAATGCGGAGTTTTGTGATTGTGATTGTGTGAATGCGGAGTTTTGTGATTGTGATTGTGTGAATGCGGAGTTTTGTGATTGTATGCAGAACACGCTGTCGATGCATCCGGAAACGGCGGCCTTCCTAATCAGGTATGGCGCTCCGTCAGATTCGAGTCCTCGCACGGCCCCGCCGCGCGCGCCGCATAAATAGAGCCCTCTCCTCTTCGACGTCCCTTTCTTGTACTCTCGACTTTCTTCCTCTCCCACATCGCCTTCGCTCGATCCCTGCCTCCTCATTCCGTTCGCCTTTTCCCCCTGGCCCCCCTTTCATTCTGCAGCTCGCCCGCGCTCTGCATACCCTTTTCGCCAAGCTGGATGCATTGTTCCAACCCTCTTTGGCGTCTCCCAGCCGTGCGCCGTCACCCGCCTCGCGCAGCGATGCTGGTTTTTGCAGTTCATTCTCATGAGCTATCGGCTGGGACGTTTCCAGCCTTCACGGTGCGTTACGATGGCAACTCTTGACTCGACTGCGGCAGTCTCTCTCGACTCCAGCTCAATGCTCGAGCTGCTCAACACCCGCTTGGTTTTCCTCCTGAGCGGCATCTCACCTTGCCCATCGCCCACCCTCCATCGCCCTGCCTGCCAGGGTACATCCTTTCGACCGCAAAATCAGAACCCATATCCACCAGGTAGGCCCCTATTTCCCCATTCAACTCGCAAGGCTTGCGCATCCTGACCAGTCACAAATTGCCGCAGGCATCGACTGCGTCGAATTGCTTAGTGCATGCATCCAGGCGTCTCAGTCTGCGGATCGGAGAGCCTGCCTTGGCCACAATCGGACCGAATGCTAGAGCGGCTGCAGCGAGACATGCAGGCGGTCGGTGACGAAAGCGGCGGATCGGCCTCTTGACCCACCTGCGGTCTACTTCCGGGCCACATTCCGCCGAATTCAGTATGCAGCGGGCAGGGGTTGCAAGACCTTGTTGACACGGGAGGGCGGCCGATGCGGCCCCCGAAGAGATGACGTGGCCTTGCTGCATTCGCTCTTGCGACGGCAAGGCAGACTGGGCCCATGGAAACGGCGAGATTCTGCCTTGTCATGGGCGGTGCCAGAGGCGGAACAAAGAGGGGGAAGGCGCATACGGACGGATTAGTGAAGGCGTCGCAGGAGGACACGCATCAACACTACTTCGGCAAAGCCGCTCTGGGCAACCCCGGGCGACCTCGTGGACCATGCGATGTTGGTCAAGGGTCGTGATTCGTGGCGATACGACGTCCTGCGGGGCAGCGACATTTCAAGTGGAGTTCACGTGGAATTCTTGTACGAACCATGGACGACATGAACGCGCACCAGAAAACCCGCGGCGCAAGTCACCAGCATGGAAAATCTCCTCTTCGACAGCGCGCACCCTCTCTTCAAGAGTTGCTTCCACAACTGAGAAGGTTCAAGGTGACGAGTATTTAAACGTCAAGGAGGTTTTGGATTGGCGAGAGGGAGAACATGGGCCGGAGTACTTGGTCAAGTGGGCGGGGTATGGGCACAGGCACAATACTTGGGAACCTGCTGCGCATTTCGAGCAATGTCTTGAGATCCTAGAGCAGTTTCACCAAGAGAAGGGACTGCCTCCACCTTGTATATAGATTTGGGCTGAATTTGATAGTTGGGGTGATTTGTCATTGCTTGTGTACGGGGCAGAGATTCATGTGCTTCATTTATTGGGCGGTCGATCTTGCGATAGGAATGTGATATTTGCGGTTGCTCCTTAGGGTTCGATATTGTGAAAAGACGTGACAGTCCCGAAGACATGCCGGGTCCAGCCATCCAGCCACGGCGCTGAGCCACTGACGTACACGATTTTTCACTATATGAAACATTGCAATGGTTATTCCAAAATGTTACCAGCCGCGCTGCAAGGCTGAAATTTGAGATGGGTGGTGAGAATTATCAATAGATACCATAGGGCCAGAGAAACCGTTGGAAGAATTTTGGTTCCCAGACAATAAACTTAAGGCTATCAAGCATCTGCTCGGCCTCCTTATGTCGGACTTCATCGGGGGTTTTCTTGAGGCGAGGCTGGAGGGTATCAGCGGTTGCAGGCTTCGATGCGGGATTGGAGGTCACCGATGTAGTCGTGTTCGAAACCATATTTTTTGCGTTCAGAATCAGAGAGGGATTCGTATTCGGCTTTGAGCGACAGGAGCCTACGCGATAGGAGCGGCAGACTTTGGGGGTCGGTTATTGGGAGTTGGGAGATTCAGGAGGCCATGCCGCCTCCCATGAGCTGTTCGAGGAGTTTGCGTTGTTCGGCTGCCATGGTAACGGCGCGGGATTTTTATTGGGTGAAATGGGGTTATAAGAATAAAATGGTAATGATGTGAGGGGTAATTGATGGTGGTGATGTGTGGTGATGATGTCGCGAGATGGTGGTTTAGTGGTTTGGTTTGGGGGAAATTCCAAAACGTTGCCAGCCGCGCTGCAAGGCTGAAATCTGAGGTCCCAAGTCGCAGAGCTCCAAAATACCCCTGTTCCACTCAATTCAAGGCCCGCTCGAGACCGGGGCCTGGCCACGAGCTCCCTTGCAATACCTCGAAGCCGTACCATTCCCACGACACCTGTTTCCCCGCCGATCACGAGGCCAACCAAGACTGGACACTTTCGCAGATCTTTGGCAAATACATCAAGGGCACTTGCCCCCTTACCAACCCTACAGTCCCACCGGTCTGCCTTCAAGTGCCAAACTCGCGAAGCGTCTATATCCCGGCAGGTGTCCTCGAGAAGAAGAATATCGATCGTGTGTCCCGCTGCTTCGAGATTAGCCCCGATACCAACTTTGAGATGGTTCTTCCGTCACCCAGCAATGACGATCAGGTGGTGACAGATGCGCTTGTCAAGCCCGAGACTCTTCTATACGCCGAGCGCAGTTTTACAGGTCACGGCCAGGTGCGCGGCAGTGTCCAGACCATCCTGCGAAACCACAGCCCCGATACTGAGGTTGAGTTTATCTACATGGAGTCCCTAGCCTGGTTTAGAGTCTGAAACGAATTCCATGGTCAACAACGGAACTATATTACGGCATAGCGTGAGCAAGGAAACGCTACAGCGGAGAATCACCGAAGAGGTCACCAACGGTGCAGATGGCATGTAGGTTGTTCTCGAATTAGTGACTGTATCCTGCTTACGCATTATCATAGGTTCCGCTGGGCTGCCTTGCAGCTGCAAGCACTGAGGGATCATAAATCCGATGCCGCAGTTCGCGAAAGGATTGGGCGTCTACCGCCCAAACTAGAAGATCTGTACCAGGAATCTCTCAGGAAGCTCGAGAACTACCCGGCTGAAGCCGACCGGGAATACGCAAGACAAACCCTTGGATGGCTTCTATGTGCCTGCAGAAAGCTCAAGTCGGACGAATTTCTCACCGCCGTCTCGCTTGCCGTGCCATCAGACGGTCATTTGGCCAAAGAGCAAGTCTTGGGGCTCTGCCAAAATTTTGTCATTTTTGATCACGCACTCGAT